GTCTCGATCTCTTGACCTCGTGATCCACCCGTCTCGGCCTCCCAAAGTGCTGGGATTATAGGCGTGAGTCACCATGCCTGGCCTCTGTTCTTTATTAAAATTTATTCTTCATATCAAATTGCATGTCGAATACATATGTCATACTTTTACAATAAAAGGAAACTGTTGTAAATTAACAGTTAAAATTGGTTGGGTCTGTTTAAAAGACTCGTTAACAATGAAACTCCTGAATCACTTATAATATTTTATTTTACTTTTTCACATCTTCCACATATGTGAGAAAGATTCATTTTATGTTTGAACTTTAGTCTATTTGAATAAAATTGTATTTCATTTCTCTACCTGCAACTTTATGATTGCTTGCTAAAAGATAACCTTTCATTCAAGCATGTGACTTTTCTTCTATTATATGCCAATGAATAATGAAATTCATGCATTCAAAGTAGGACAGTTTCTAAATGTTATTCTGGAAGGTGGAACCTCAGTGACAGTCTTCCCTCTAGACCTTGCTTTCATTTTCATCAGTGCTTGCTTAAGTAAAGCTCTGAATGGGAGGCCATTGAAGAGAAAAGGCTATCTGGACAGGCAGATTGTAAACTGGCTCCCATGATCCCCATGTGTTCATGTCCACACATTCATATAAGCAGGACCTGTGGCTCACTTCAAAACTGTAAAATTCCACAAAAGTGACAGAATTTTATTCCTATCATTACATTTATATAAGACTTTTGCTAACCGATGCAGTCTGGAGACTCTGCCTCTCCACATTTAGTCTTTTAAGAAGCAAGCCGACAGGAATCTTCCAGACACAAAGAACTTAATGAAGCCATCAACCATGTGAGTAGGGAATTGGATGCTCCCCCAGTGGAGCCTCTAGATGAGAAACCGGCCCTTGCTGATGCTTTACAGCTTTGTAAAACACTGAGCAGAAGAAACAGCTAATCTGTGCCTGAACTAAAGGCTCTCGGAAAGTATAAGACGATACATGTGTGTTGCTTTCAGTGGCTAAGTTTGTGGTGAACATTATACATGAGAGACAATACTACTACTATACATGACTTGGTCTCTCAAAAAAGTTTCTGTTCTATTTGTTGGTATCATCATGATAATCATCCAAACATACATATTGAGTACCTTAAGAGGCTTTGAAAGTTGAGTGGAGAACAAATAAAAGTTCAATTAATAGCACATTACTAGCTCACAGTTCTGGTGGAATGAGTCCTAGGATGATAATTATACTCTGAAAGAAATAAGTCACTCCATATGTTTTATAAGGAGTGATGATTTTATCCTTTCCAAATTTTCTTCTACATTTTTCCTTGATCCTTCCATTGGCCCTCATGCAACTTCAAGTTGAGTATGGTAATTAACTGATAATGAAACCATCATTCATTTTAGTGACAACAAATTATTTTGTCAACTTGGTCTATAAATGTGTGGTTTGCTAATTTTCTAATATATTTTTATATTAGAATAAATTATAAAAAGAGTGAAGCAAATGGTTCCAAGTATGATTCTGCATTTCTGTGTCCTCATCAACCAACTGACCTCCATATCTCCATCAGTTTNCAGTATCTTATGATATAACAAAGTAGCTTATATAATTTATATACTTAAAGCTAAGACATTAGCAAATATTTCATTCTGAAAATTTATATTATAAGGACTTGTAAATTTCCTATTGCTATGAAAATCAATAAGAAATTGTTTTATGTTAGTCCACGTCTCCCCCATTTCTTTTGTGAAAATAACACAGGCTTTTTATATTAGTGTTTTTCTCCTGTGCTTGCAGTGAAAAAAAAATCACTTCAATTAATTAAAACATGAAAATTGTAATCATATTCGCACAATTATTTTTTTTAATTCTGTTAGGAAGTCACTGGTGTTTGCTTGTGTTTTGAGAAGAGCAATATTTTTGTTCTTGTAGAGAATTAGTCATTAACATTGCTTTGTAGTACATCAAATTGATTCTCTGTAATACTAGTATCTGCTCAACTATAAAAATAGACTTGTAATTTGAAAAGCACGATTTGAACTGAACTTCAAGGCTTTGAAAAAAGTGCTTTTAACGATGTTTTCTTTCTCGTTTCCAGTCTGAGGACAGAAGCTGAATGCCATATGACATAGCCATTGATGCCTGTAGAATAAGCAAATGCAAACAATGACCTTAATTCCAAGAATAAGTATGTAAGGTTCACTGTGCGGAGATACTGGGCAATTATCTCTGATTTTACTGTTGTTGAAAACATTAATTATTTAATGAGTTTGAAGTGCTTAAGTGTTTGCTTCTGACTTAAAAATTATGTGCTCTTCAGTAATCAGTCAGGCTTAGTTGAATGAAAGAGAAATAAAATGATTTGTCAAAACTATATTGACAAATATAGTTGTACCTTCTGAAAAGAAAGAAGTGGAGAAAAGAAAAATCATTCAAGTCACAGATCCTGTGGTATTTGGGCTGAAAAAACAATAGGACAGGTAAGAATGGTGAGCTCTTTCAAAAAGATTTGTCTTTGGCAGACTAAGTACCATGTTACGCCCATGGTTTTTAAAAGTGAAATAGAAAATTGAAGCCAGTCATTCCCTACTTTGGAAAACAAATGTGAAGGTATTCTATATCAAGGTGATAATTCTTGGAAAAACTCTCTGCTCTATTTGAAGTACATTTAAAGAAGCTCCCTCATCTCAATAGCAGAGGGTCCTGAAGACAGAGTGCATAAACAAGGTAGCATAATTCTTAATAAAAACCTTATAAGATAAACAAAATGGTGGAAAATTGAAAACCATCTTTGAGTATGTTCTTTCCTTACTTAAAATTCTTTAATATCAGGAGGACATCTGGGTCTGAGTATTACAAACTACTGCAGCACATTACAAAATAAACCTACATCATAAAAACAGGTTACGGATAACTATTTTACATTCCCAAAAAGGAAAAGTGTTTATCTTTCAAAGAAAGGAATAAAAAGAAATCATTTGACCATGGTGTTTTAGCTTATGAGAAGATGATATTGCTAACTATCACTTAGAATTTTGTGAAATAAAAGAATATTCTGAAATAAAATAATTCACCCACCCCGTTGCCCCTCCACCGCACACAAAGGAAAGCTACATCATGGACTAGAAAGACCAAGAATGAAATAAAATATTGGTAAAGTTAAAAAAATGTCAGTTGAAGTGAGTTCAAATGTTAGAGTTATAGAGCATAATTTTAAAAAGGGTTCTGCATAGGAGATCATTCAACCTCACTTGCAATGGCAAGAGATCACCTCTCTGACATAACTATGATTCTTTGCAAAATAGTCATTTTTTAAAAACGCAAAAAAGACTTCCTCTTAAAATAAAAGCCAAAAGCAAGCAGGACTGAAAAAAATTAAATCACACAAATATAAAAGAGTTGGAATGAAATAATGTAGTGAAAACCCCAAATAACCTTCTTCCTTTTTAAATGATTTATCAATAATTGTAATAAAAGTCAAACATTTTACAGTACCTTGGTCTATGTTTGTATGACCTTATCAAGAAGTTGATTTTGGAAACTCCATTTATCTACAATTATCAGGAAGATAATGTTGGCTGCAAATATTGTTTCATTCTTAATCTTTTTATGTCAATATAAATTATTTAAATTGAATTTCCAAAGTAAAGATGTTTTAAAGGAGCAAAAACTATAAATGATTATATTACCACTTCAGTATCCTGTGTGTTTCCTAAAAATTTCTAAGACAATGAATCTTACTTTTTTATAATCTCAGCAAAATCTTTATCAGTTCAATTTTATCCTATTTCTGATAAAATAGGTTCCAAACCCATTAAAAAAGGAACATCATTATAATGAATGGTACATTACACTGAAAGCATTTTACTTTCAAAAGCATCCTAGGTAATGGCCAAGAATAACACTACCTTTAAAAAATCTATTTAGAATGAAAATCATTGTCACAAGTTATTCAGTACAGTAAATGCTTTCCTTTCCCAGCCTTCTTCATATCTTTCTAAAGTTAAAAATAAAAAGACAGCCAAACCTTGACAGAGTGTCTTAGCACAAACACAAGGAGGACATAACCCCCACTAGTTATCACTAGAATGAGATGTGACCTGTAAGTGTTCTAAATTTTCTCTTCTCACAGGGGGCCGTATTCTATAGACTGAGAAGAGAGAACATTTGCTTCATGTTCCACTCCTATACATTATAAACAAGATCTGAACCCCTTCCAAAAGCAAGTCATTTTTGTCCCAGCTACAATTCTACCTGCTATTCAGAGCTGGCACCCGGGAAAGGTGGGCAAGGCTGTGTGATACAATGTAACCTATGGATTATCACTTACTGAGCTAAATATAGTTGGAGAGAAGGCTCTTCGTGTGACACCTTTCAAATCAGCCCTTGTTTCCTCCATGCCCAGGCCGACTTGTGTTTTAACTTTGCCAGATTTCAAAAGTCTCTTAAGGCCTTATGCAGTCTCAGTCGTCTGTGTACTTTCACAAACGCTCTTCTGACAGTGTCTGCTAACGTTAATACCCCAGCGATGCTACACACCTCTTCTCTCTGTCCCTCTATCTCTCTGTCTTTCTGTCTCTTTGTCCCTTTCAGACCTTTCTGCCTATAAGACTTATATAAAAATTACTTTTAATAAAATTATACCATTTAATCCACAAAAATATAATTGTATTTGTTTAAGCATTGTACTAATGAACTACCATGAATAAGACATGCATACCCGAGTTTTGTTATCCAGCAGCAGCGATGCTTTTCTTCTAATCCACGCATACTTCAATCAATTAGCTTTAGAAGGAAAACAATAAAACAGATTCAAATGAACCTCAAATACTGTAATTTTAGCCTAAGGCCATAAAACATAAAAAAAAAATGCTTAATTTCTTTTTTTTTTTTTTTTTTTTTTTGAGACGGAGTTTCGCTCTTGTTACCCAGGCTGGAGTGCAATGGCCCAATCTCAGCTCACTGCATCCTCCTTTTTTTTTTTTTTTTTTTTTTTTTTTTTTGAGACGGAGTTTCGCTCTTGTTACCCAGGCTGGAGTGCAATGGCCCAATCTCAGCTCACTGCAACCTCCGCCTCCTGGGTTCAGGCAATTCTCCTGCCTCAGCCTCCTGAGTAGCTTGGATTACAGGCGCGTGCCACCATGCCCAGCTAATTTTTTGTATTTTTAGTAGAGACAGGGTGTCACCATGTTGACCAGGATGGTCTCGATCTCTTGACCTTGTGATCCACCCGCCTCGGCCTCCCAAAGTGCTGGGATTACAGGCTTGAGCCACCTCGCCCGGCCTAATTTCTTTCTTCTCCTACACATTGTGCTCTCATCAAATAAATCCCTCTTCCATGCTATATTAACCTATTAAAGGAAACCAAAGAAATTTCACCAAAAATACTTATTTGACATATTTCAAGACTGTTATTGAGAGGACTTGCAGAGAGACATTGCACAGAAAAGCTGCCTTTTGTGTAGGAGATTTGCATCTGCAGGAAAAAAAAGTACATTAGTGAAATAAGCAATCAGGTGTTCTTTGAGCCTCCTACCCCTTTTCAAAACCTAGAAAAGATGGACTCAACACAAGCTTCCAGTTCTTTCTGAGGGTAGCTCCAAGCTTATCTGACATATTTTCATCTGTATTACAGGGAGTGTTTGCTTGACATGCTTTCCTCCCTTCACCCTCCCATAACTGTAATGCCACCTCCCACAGAGCCCAGAGACACTTGTTCTTAGGCCATGGTTCTTTATGCTCACTCATTTCCCCTGAAAATTATTTATTGCCCCTCAAAAGAATTGTCTATATTCCCCATCTTTACCCTACACTACGAAGAAGGGTAAAGAAGCTCTTGGGCTGCAGTGGATTATTGGGTAATCATTCTCCTGTGATTGCCCCATGTTGTGCATATTAAAACATATTTTGTATGCCTTTTCTTCTATTAATCTTTGTCAGCTGACTTTGTTGAACCTTCAGAGGGTGAAGGAAAGGATTTCCCTCAGCCCCTACACTACTTATTCAGGAAATTGGAAGCTCAAATAAAAAAGTTACCGATATAAAGATGCTGGTTGCATGAATATGATTTATAATAAGTACTTAATTTCTTAATTCTTTATGAGCTAGGTAATTCTAATTTTGAAAATTAATTCTTGAAATTAATTCTAATCTTGAAAATTAATTTTCTCTTGGGCAACACTTTTATAAACAGTCATTCATGTTTATTTGAATGAATTCAATTAAAATATTGAATTCTTACCATTTAAAGTATTTGCTTTCTCCTAAAGTTTCTAAATTTTTATATATTCATAGAAATATAAGAAAAACATCTCTTTGATATCTTGTGCAATCAATAATGAATTCTTATTTCTAACGAGAAATTTATTTTCTAACTTTGATTTGAATCGTTGAGAACAAATACATATAACAAGATCTGCAGCTCTTTACTGCTGTGTGGTGATGATTAAAGCTGACACATTGTAGCATTGACCTGAAAACCTAATATTTGTGGATCGTGAACTATGATAATCACATGGAAAATGTCTTTCTAATATTCATTAGAATTAATCATCGTACCTACTCAAGTCTTCCTGTCACCTTTAATTGCTTAATACATACACTGGGTTTGCCTTAATCTACGCCTGCTTGGTGTAATATATATCTTTTTGAAAGAAAACCAAGTACTGTAAAATTAAGAACAATCATCATAGATTTCTGATGGTATATATGAAAAAGCACAGAATCAGTGAAAATCTTTATTGATAAATGGACGCAAATTATATGGATACTTCTTTGAATTTGAATTGGGTGGGGAGGTAACAGCAGTAGCAATTATAAAGAATGGCATGAAGAGAGCATCCATGTTTGCACTCTTTCCCCGTGTGACTAAGAAACCATCAAATTTTGTTTGAAATGTGGCTGCAAATAAAAAAGATATTTTTAGTCAGAATCTATTTATTTATTTTTATTCCCCAACTTACAACCGAAACATCCATTTGCTGCCACTCTTACATAGTTTTTCTTCCAATTTCAGCCTCCATCAAATTTCCACAAACCCACTAAACACAGTGACTTATTTTTCCTTTCTGTCTTATAGCTTTGAATTAATTTTATTTCAAATGTTCTTTATTTTAGTGTACTTGATTTTTAGATTACTTTTAGGTCTACAGCAAAATTGAATGGAAAGTACAGAAATTTCTCATTTACCCCCTTGTCTTCCCACATTCACAACTTTCCCCATTATCAACATCTCACACAGAGTGATACATAAATATCATCACCTACAGTCAAGTGTCCTTTACATTTGAGTTCACTTTTGGAATTGTACATTCTCTGGATTTGGACAAATGTGTGACATGTATCCACCATCAGGATATTATGAAGAGTAGTTCAAATACTCTAAAAATCCTCGGTGTTCACCCCATTTATCTCTCCTTCCCCCATTAAACCCTAGCAAACACTGATCTTTTTACTGTATCCATGATTTTGTCTTATCTAGAATGTTAAATAGCTGAAATCTGCAATAGGTAGGCTTTCAGATTGGCTTCCTTTGGCTAGTACACATTTAAATTTTATCGTGTCTTTTTAGGGCTTGATAATTCATTTCTTTTTAGTACTGAATAATATTCCATTATCTAGATGTATCATTTATTCATTCACCTATTGAAGGACATTTTTGTAATGTATATTTATTTTTATGCATTGTTGCATTTAATTTGCTAATACTGTGCTGAGAATTTCTGTCTATTGTTATGAAAGATGTTGATATGTGTTTTTTTTGTTGTTGTTGTTATGTCTTTTCTGATTTTGGTATTAGAGTGATGCTGGCCAAACTGAATGAATTTGGATGTATACACTCTGCTTCTTTATTCTGGAAGAAACTCAGAGGATTAAGATGATTTATTTCATAAATTTTGGTAGATATCACCAATGAACATTTCTGGGACCACTGCTTTCTGTTTTGGAAAAATATTTTTTTAAATTTCAGTAATTGATAAATCCCTACTCAGATTGTCTATTTCAGCTTATGTAAGTGTTGGCACATACACATTAAGGATTGTTATGTATTCCTGGAAAACTGACACCTTCATCATTTTGTAATGCTCTGTTTTTTTTTTTTTTTTTTTTTTTTTTTTTTTTTTTTTTTT